TCTTTCTCTCTCTCTCTCTCTCTCTCTCTCTCTCTCTCTCTCTATCCGTCTCTCCCTCCTTATCCCTTTTAGCATTTTTCTTGAGTAGTCAAAACGTAACAGACAAGAAAATAGAAGTAATCGAAATTCGAAGCAACAACTTGATCCTTAAATATCTACCTAAGAATATAAAACGGAGTCGCACAATGTCGAAGGCACAACCCTTTCAAAAATCGGATGAACTGAAAAAAGCACGATGGGAGGCATCATCGGTATACGTGTCTAAAATTCTTGGGCAGTGGACTCCTTTCTTTGATGCTCGAGAGATTAAGTACAAGAAAATTTCCTCTTCTTGCCTTTCCTTTTCACATGTATGTCACAAAAGACTAAAATAGCGAAATATCGACAGACGTATGTTTTCTTATTTTTTCATTTTTTTGGTTTTTCTTCCTTTCTTCGTCTGCGGCTCTGCTCCTTCCGATTATTAAATAAACCACACAGCTTTCCCTCTCTCTTTCTTTTTTTCTCTTGCTCTAGCTCTCTTAAAGCCTTATCATCCTTCGGACCTTAGAAAGTTCCACTTCAACTTTTTCTTTTATTAGTAACAAATTTACATAGGCATACGGAAACTCATGTTCTTTTTTATACCTTTGTTCCTTTTTTTTCTTTATGCTATTCGGCAGAGACGGGATTCCATAACACTATTCACTATACATTTATACAATCTTATCGTATTCCTACACGCGAATTCGTATGCATTAATCGAGGCAAGGTCGGTCTTCTAAATATCGCAATTATTTTTCTGTCTTTTTATATTTTTTTTTCTCTCTCCTTATTTTCAATCAACCCATTTCGGGCAATTTCTTCCTAGCGCGACATCCATTGTCTTGAACTCGAAAGCCGTAACCGATTCATAGATACGCGGAATAAAGAATGAGGTAAATTGCTCTAGGCATAAGAAAAAAATCATTGACGAGAAATTGGTTGCCTCAACCAATACGTAGAAATTCTGATCCTTAATCGTAATTCGCCTACACTCTGGTTTCTCTATAATCGTGTGTTTATGTGTGTGTATGTGTATGTATGGGTGTCTTGCAGTGTGTCTAAAGGTGTGTTTTCCGTTTTTTTTTTCTCGATCGTGCAAATATGGCTGTTATTTACCATTGTATCATTTATCCGTTTATACGAAATCGTGAACTGCCCACAGTTAAGACTCGATAAGAGAATTGCAAATGCAAAGTTCGTGAGAATACCAGTTGCAAAATAAAGAACAGATTCTTTTGCGATTGTTAGATCTGTACAGGTGACTCTATCGTTCGGCACCAAGCTGCCGGCGCAGTTACATCTACGTAGCTTGGATTTGTTTCACCGTGACAGCAACTTGGTAGAACGCCGATGGTAATTAGGATTCATTATGCATCCCGGCTGGTATTTTGTGATGACTCACAGTTCTGTGGACTATGCAACTGATGGGCTAAAAGAGGAGTGTGAACTGGAGATGGTCCAGGTTGCGGTTCTGGTTCTTGCAGGAAACGCTGTAGTGCTTTCGCGTCGGAATAACTGGAAAAGACAAAAAGAGGAAAGGAATTCAGAACAATCCGCCTAATCAAGTGAAAACTACCATTACGAAGGGTGTCCAAAAGTAACGCGACCACCCAAAATATCAGGCATTTCTATAGAAACTCGGTTACATGCCAGCTCAGAATACGTTAGATGATCATTTAGCTTGAGACACTCAACTGACGGTAGTAAATAAGGATAATACAGATATTTACAAAAACACAAATTCTAAATTGCGTTCCATCCGCATTGCATCCCTCCTATTCTGTGGCTGATATTTGTCTGCTTCCTCCGCGCAGTCCTCGCTCGGGTCCTCCATCTCTTGTTCTACCTCAGGGCACAGTTCGCAAGCTTTCTCCAAAGTTTTCCTTGCGCTGTTGCTACGCTCTAAGACATAGCCGTTTGTCGAATCATTGGATTGTGCTGGCGGAGACCAGTTGCTGTACGTGTGAGGGTAAGTGGCTGTAGAAGCATACGGTCTCTGAAATTAGATTAAATGTCGTTTACATAAAAATCCACACTTTATAGATGATTTCGTTATACTGTATAGCACACCTTTTCGAGTTCTTCGTGAAGCCAGTCGATAGCGTTTATCCACTTCCTCCTCAATTCAGGACTATGGTGTAGAAGTTGATGTGCAGGTCTACACTTACTGAATAGGTGCACCATACATTTGATGCACTGATAGGCTCTCTTTTGGTAATGGTGTTTGCTTCTTTGTATTATTTCGAATAAACCATCTCTCTCCTCCGGTACACCTAAAAATATTTTGGCATTCTTAGAAACTGATAAGAGGCACATTGTAACACCATAGTTGACACTAGGTATTGATATATGTATTCGAAATACGTGCCTTTAAGCGCATTATGAACACGGTGTGTCTGCCATGAGTCCTCCATAAGAAGCATGGCTAGCAACAGATCCGTGTGATGCTTCAGATCGTGCGTGAATGAGAATCCAATTTGCCACAATAATTCGCTGAGTACTGTTCGTGACAAATTTGGACTTTCCCAACAGCAGTATTGAAGCAATTTTACAGTGTCGGTAAAGGTAACATCAGTGACGTTAACATCGGCGTCTTCGAGTAGTTTCTTCGTATAGCTGTTAATAAAAGTATGATTCGACTCATTGGCACTGGTTTACTCTTTGTTTAAAAAATATTCACAATGTTTACCTATTTTTGACAAAAAGAATATCGGCTGCCTGTGGTTGAATAGGCATCACATATTCATTTTGACACGCTGGGTCTCCATATGGGTTTGGTAAAGGCGCTCCTCCATGACTTGACTGAGTCTTCGATGATACATCGCAGCAACGTATTAGCATACTAACTACTTGGTGCAATTTAGTTAGTTCAGGGAATTGATACTTAATTAATGGGCCAGGCCCCTCGTCGATCGCAAGTAACATAAACGTAACTGGGACATTTAACTGTAATCAAAGTAGAAAATATGATATTTTCCATGGTAAATAGATGTTTGTAAGACGCATTACGCTCACCTTAAGCAATTGGGCCTTTTCAGCAAGACCGAGCGACGCATATGTGTAGAACAGGGAAAAGTAATGTGGCAAATGACGCCCATGATCTGAAATTTCGCGATGAAGTAAAGAAAGAACTGCATGCAATAAATGATCACTAAGCGTTGCTGTTGGGTCCAAAAGTATGGCTGAAATAATTCGAAAAATTCATGAAGGTATTTGTTATATTAACTAGGTATTCTATATTATAAACAGAATGTATTCTTACATATGTATACATAGATATTAAATTAAAAAGAAATGAATGACATCAAAAACTTACTTGGTGCGTTTAAACTAGGTGGCACGCATGGGCCATCCTGAAGTGAAACATGTGCAAGAAATACCAAAATTTTGAGAAAAGCTGTTCTAACTTCTGAACTAGGACAGCTCAAAAGGTACTCGCAAAATCTAAAGACAATGAATAACTTTCGTTAAATATCGACATATTCTATCCTCATGCTTATATACTAAAAAAAATCGTGATACCTATGTGGATGATTAAACAGCACATTATGAGCAAACCAGGACCGCACGGCTTTACTGTTGCGCAAATGGTGGCAAACGATATCATACCAATCCATAGCGTTACCTCGTAATGTCTTTTTTGTATGGAAACCTGTGTAGAACAGGAATCTTGATGCTAACTGAACAGATAACATTCCAAGTTCTTCTTGCTCTGGACTCTACAAAAAAAATCATAAAAACCATTATAAGTTATTAGCAATATGAACATTATTTTTCATTCTGTCAACTCACAAGTTTTTCATTCATATTTTGTCGATTTATATTATGAGGATTACAGGATACAAGTCTCTTGATAAATTGAAAATATTCTGCACTGAACTGGTTTCGGTTATGCATAAACTTTATATTTTGCTTCCTGACGCTATATTCAATGGCTGGTGGCATTTTCATGACTCCTAATTTCGTATCTGCAAGTAGAAATACTTTAATTAGCGTTGCTGAAACTTTTTGATAAGTCCGAGAGACTAAACGTTACTCACACAACGATAGTTCATTAACGCTTTTCATTAAAGAATTTTCCTCTACATCTAGCCTGGTATAAAATAACATATAGGCGTTCCACCACCGCTTCTGTTTTCGATAGCTCATTCGTTTGAGCATCTGATCAAACACTTCTCCCAAGTAATCACCGCCGAAACATTGAGATTTCATTTCTTCTTCTTCCTCCATTCTACATTCTGTAACGTCGCCGTCGTCGAATTTATACCACTTTGCGATGCCGTCACTTTGCCTATCGTACAAACATTAAAAATTACTCTACATGAAAGTTGCACTGCATTATAGGCTTCGACAATTAATATTAAACAATTATACTGCTAGACTCTCTTTGTATGCTCATTGTAGTACCTGTGCAAAATATAAGAATAGTAGTGGCCGCCACTAGCCTGACCACTATGCACTACGATGCCAGTTAGTTGGTATTTAGTGCAAGTTCCTTTCATCGATTCCTCATAATCACAGTCTATAACTTCTCCCTCCACTTTAGCCAGTCCAGAAACAGTGTAAGGTTCCATATCCAAATCTCTTGGAAATTCAAAATAATCATTGAACTTGATGGCGCAATCTCTTTCGAAGTCATAGTCGAATCTTTTTAATTGAATCGCTAGTACCGGCGGCAACTTCTTGACACACAATCGTTTCACGGTGACAACCTTTAAAAGCATAACAATTTTAATGATTAAATATTAGCATTCATTTGTTAACATAATTGAACTGCAATCTTCAATGACAATTTATTTCAAAATTGAAGGCTATACCTTCTTATTACACTTGTCACAATGATAAGCGTCTGCGCCTTCCAATAATTCTCCTTTTACGTATTGTTCGAGGGAGTCTAATAAATTACTGTGATTCCTAATATCCACGCTTATCAAACTGAACGGCTCTTCCTTGGAATATCTGTAGATAATGTAATGCGGTATTACAGCTTACCGAAAAAAGCAGAATGTAAGAAATAAAAAGGTACCTATGAGGGCAACCTTTGCAGATTTTCTGGTCACTATATGAACCACCCAGAATCCTGCTCATTATCTGTTCATGTCCTAAAGCTTTTAACGCTTCATCTAAGCTTTCCACTAAACTCATAAAAAACTCTACTGCATCTTGTTGTTCCCTAAGATTTACAGGTTCACCTTGAAGTCTGAAAATAATATCAGAAGCACCAATAAGTATAACATATTAATTATTTGTTTTACAGTATTAAATCAAGATATATATATATATATGTTTAAAATGAATATACTATCACTAATATAAATGTTCAATATATCTGAAGGGAACGTATGCTTACTTGAAGTGCTTCCAAAGACCTCTAGGTATATAATATTGCAGTTTGCTATAAGCCAAATGTCCGAAGATGGCCTGGACTTGTTTTAAGATCCCAATATTATATTCCTTCCGTGATTCATCCGCCCCGCATTTCTCTTCGTTCGTGTCGTTATCGTTCGCTTCAATGGTTTGATCTCCTTTGATTCGTTCTTCACCGGAAAAGTCTTCGTTCAGGTCTGTCGCTGCACCTTCCGCGGCCAGCAATCCGACCCTTATGCTCTCAACCATGTACAATTGTTGTAATACCGAGTTCATGTAGCAAGTCGCGCCCGCGTTTTTTAAACCTACAAAGCCTTTCAGCGGTCTGAGCCCAACCGGCGGCAAATAATCCCATTCTACTAGCGGTTCGTCTCTCTCTGAGTAGAACATGTCAGTGAGCATTGTGACTAGAAGTTTCATGTTGGGTACACAGCCTATACAAAGACCTACAAGTAAATCGAATGCCGCGCTAGTCGACTGAGGGGTTGTACAAACTGGGCACGCTTGCGAGGCACTTAACTCGCCGGTGCTGCGAAGCTGCAGCATTAGACGCGACGCGGGAAATACAAAATCCTCGACCAGTTCTTTCACTAGGTTCGTGCCATGTGTCTCATCGGAACCGAGCTCGAATTTTTTGCTGGCTGGTAGAAATGCCAATAGTTCTTTCGTGAGACCGAGATGACCTTCGAGAACGGCTTCGTCCACTTGACTCTCGCCGGTCTCCTTAACATTGTCCCGTACCTTCTTCAACCACGCTATCTCAATGTTCAACAGCGACTCAACTGTCGTGAGAGGACATCCAGACATGTGAGCGAAGTTTAACAATCTACATAACAACTGAAAGTACTCGTGGCTCTGTTTTGCATGTTCCACGACGGTAGTATTTAGAACACTAAAGAGCAGCGAGATGGCGAATAATAGTGACTGATGACCGCTACTGTACCAAGTCGATATAAGAAAAAACTGTTCAGCAGCAGCCATTCTGATCACCGGTGAAGGGCTTAGGAGCACAAGATCTATTAAAAATGTGTGCCACATTTTATCCCTTGGTAATGATTCTAAAGCGCTCAAATTCAATACCAACGCGATCGTCAGAACTTCCAAAGCCTCTTTACAAACTAACACATCATTGTTGTCAGGATTATTCACTGTCTCCTTCTCCTTTGATTCGTGTAGTGAGTGAAGCATTTCAACGGACGCGTTTATGTTGTTCAGACTGCCTGTGGAGGCCGCCCATGCTAGCCTAATTATGGCACAAATAGTCGGTACATCAATCAACGGTAACTCCCAAGATAGAGCTCGCATAAAAAGCTGCCAACATTTGTCAGATTTGGGTCTTCCGCTCGATATCCAACGCGCTAAATATTTTGCCAATTTAGCCGCTACGCTTCTCAACATGTACTCCGTGTTCTGATTAGGTACGCTTTGCAACGCTTGCTTCAAAACCGGTAACGGTGATCGATTGTTGTGAGCGTGATTCTCTTGATTCTCTGAAATCCCTTGCACCTCGTCCAGCACACAGACCATAACGTTACCCACTATCGTCAGCAACAGTTTACACAATTTTAACACCGTCAAATACGCTGCCCGTTTCGTGGTTTCGTCGGCATTCGGTAAGAATTTATTTTTACTTAACATCTCCAGAATTACTTCAGCTTCACCGCTCTTGATGAAATTGCATTGAAACTCAAATGCTTTCTCAGACAATGGATCCAGAGCCGGCATTAACAGACTATATAAAACCTGAAACACACAGATGAATCATTAATTATTATTAATACATTATAACACGTCTTTTCACGACTTATGTGAACTCAGATATTCCGACTTGCCTCTAAATTGTATAAAACTTGGCTAGGACTTGAAGTAAAAAATAAAGAATCTACTGTAGTGTTTTGTTCATTACAAAGAGCATTATCTATATTATCATCGTCTTTAACGAGACTAAATAACCACTGTAATCGTGACACGGTAAGGGTATCTGGTGGCACCAATTGTAAAAGGTTCCGTGCACCGTCACGTAACTGTGAGTGCTGAAGTGTGCATCCCAGATCTGCCAATTGAAAGAAAAACGTAGCGTACTGCGATCTTTGCGATATGACCTGTTATAAATATACAGTTATTTAGAGATGTTCCCTTCAGAATTATTTACAATTTTGCATAATAAGAACGATTTAACATACCACGCCCGGTAAACTATGCTCTGCCTCTACATTTGGCCCATCATATGGATGGTGGGGAGAACTAGTAGAACTATCCGAACTACTCTCTGGTGAGCTCGGTATGTTGCTGTTTACTTGACTCAGTTTTGCAGATAATAACTAGAAAAATAATATTTATGTTATCGTATCATTTACGAGCGTTGTATATTAGTAAACATTATTGTTATTGATATAAACCATTTTATCTCTTAATGGAGTTTGAGAGAGAAGTTTCTTGTCGTCCGTTGGTTCTAATGACTCTCCATTGAGAAATAAGTCGAGTTTCACATTTGTCCCATTCGCTTTAATTCTGCGCAGTATTTGACGCCTCAATGATCCCAATGTATCATTACTATGCGTGAATATATCTACATCGTCTACGTTAAGACCAGGATTTGCAAAACGAATAATCAGAGACAGGTGTTTCCCACGAGTTGCTCTATAAGATAAAGGAAGATAGTAGAACGTATTACAAAGATTAATAAACCAAGAATGAATTGTACCTATGTAACGGTAATATTCTTCGTTCCACAGGAAAGGCTGAATCGCATTCATTTATGTATTCTTGCAACACTTTCATCACACGACACATTTTCATGGCTTCCATTTTAATTTTGTTTGACACCTGTTCTTCGCGTTCCTCTTTCCCCTCAAGGTATACTTTACTCAAAACAGACACAGTATCGTAGTGTGCTTTCAATCTGTCCATGCACTCTCCTATGCACGTTACATGAAAAGCCAGGATCGAAGAATGAAGTCGTGGTCCTAAATTAGTGTTTACTTCCTTTAAAAGTTCTATGGCTCGATTAGCAATTTCTTCGGGGCTATTGGTTACTACCTAAATGTACCAATAGTAGGACGCATTCATTAACAAGTAATGCCAGGTATCATTAGTACAAAAACATTGAAATTATAATTCTACTTACCCGCCACAAATAATCAGAACCAATTAGGTCAACGTCATTCATAAAAAATGTTCTTCTCTTCAATTTGAATTTCCCCTCTTTCCAATTAACGGCTTTGAAAAATCGCTCGTAACACTTAATGCCACTTTCTGTAAGCAATGTTGGGTCTAGTTGCAGTATATTGTTTTGGAAGAAATCTTTGTTTATTGCTGGATCAAGATCTGGTTCGTCGCCCATTAATTTTGAGAACCACTTAAAGCAAGCTTCCCGGTCTGACACGAACACGCCTTGTTCTGCTAAACATTGCCAAATTTGCACTGCTTGATCCTCACATAACCATAATTGACCATCCTACATAAAAACATAACCATTGTTCAATTATATCAAATATGCCAGAACTGACGGTGTATTGCAAATAATTGATAACATACTTTTAATAAGAAACGTAGGAAATTAAGCCTTTCTTGCACTTGCATAATGTGATTGTATCGGCCATCGGGCATGTAAGTGTTGGGATCAATGTCCGGATTCTCTTTGACTAATTGCCGCGTCTTACTCATACAATTAGTTAAACTAATTGTCACAAGAATTACTATCGAATGTTCTGCTTGGAGTCGTTGTATCACATCTTGCCTTGAGTAACAAAAAGTAAGGAGTTACGATATATAGAATCGAATAAATTGTATGCAATGAACATACCTATAATGTAAATGATGACCCCGTTGACCATGGCCTATGTTAGGATTTGGTTCATATAGGCAACATATTTCTCGAAATTGTTTCAAAGCCGGTAACACCCACTTATCACCGGTTTTTAACTCTTCCAGACATTTGTCCAGCCAAATTGTTTTCTGTGCATCCCTTTCTTGAGAACACGAGTAATCGAGAATTTTTACGTGCGCATTCAGAGCTTGATCCATGATTTCTGTAGGCACCTCGTCCGAGTGAGCCAAATTCCAAAAAAGTGTCAAAACCTAATTTAAAGAAAAAAGATATATACACGTACAAATGGATACCGATGGATACGAATATGCAACAAAGTAAAAATTAAGGCACCTTATGCGCCATCACACCATCCTTATCATCTTCTGCTAATCTTCTGATTAATTCTAATAACTTTTCTCTTTGCTTCTTGTTAGCAGTCTTCCAACTCCTCTGAAGACAAAATAATATTAAAGTGTTAATTAAACCATATTAATCGTATCTAAATATTTAAACCATAATTGTATAATATTAAACACCTGAAAACATTCGAAGAGGTGATCAAGTTGTTCAGGAGTGAAATCCCAAGCTAATTTAGCTAACAGGTCGTGAACATTCTTCTCGATTGCTTCGTGTTTTCCAGCTTGTGCCGCCCAAACAGCATCCAAATCCTCCAAGGTCAAGGCTCGTTCTTTTATAATAAAGCGTAAAATCTTTTCTAACTTTTCAACGTACTGAAGCTGATGTAACGAGTCTCTTAACACGATTTCTAACACTCCATTTTCTTTAATCCATTTCTAAATAAATGAAAACAATTTAAAAATACTTTTGAAGGCATAAACTCATGAGACAAATATTATCAGATGAAAATTTGAATTAAACGTACAGCCATACGTTCGGCTGTAAGCCATTCGTCCTCTTCAACAATCGCATTTCTATGCTGATAGAAGCTAACGGTGGTAATCACTTTGTTCACTTCATTCAAAGCATTCATCTTTCCATTAAACGAAGAAATTTGTAAGAGTCTCAGTATCATCTTCAGTCTCAGAATTTCCAAGTTTTTAATCATTTCGTCCTGATGTGGCACCCGCGACACTAAACACTTTGCGGCTTTAATTATGGCTGATATTGCATCGTTTTTCGCTTCATTCTTTGCTTCTTTTTTTAATTCCTCATCAGTCAAATTATTCAAAATTACAGGCACCATTTCCTGTCGACAAAAGATTATGTAAGAAATCGAAGATCAAAATAAAACTAAGTTTCAAAACACATGAGGTATTACTCACCACGATAGGCATTAGATATTTAACTATTGTGTGAACAGTAAGTAGTTCGTAACACAAACCAAAGGGTTTGATTAAAGCATAAATAACTAGTATTGATAAATTTCGGCCGCTCTGAAATCTAGAGAGCAATATATCAAATCCATTAAGACTTCCAAACCTATAACAAACAAAAATAATGATTATAAACCTTAGAATTGTTTAAACAAATATTTATTACTATTTACGATCTTATCTTATCTATTCACCTATTTATAAGATCCACCAACCAACCACGAGTACTTCTTGAATCAGCAGGTGGTCGGGCATAAAGTTCTTCATCAGGAATATCACTGCCGAGTGGAACAGTTTCAGATACCCTGGCTGCATTAAATGTGTGAAATCTAAAAAGGACAATCCAACATTATTATAAACAGTCCATATAATAACTAAAAATACATAACTAAAAATAACGAGTAACATACTTATTAAGGGGATTAAAAACCATTGCCAGCAAATCAAGAAGAGGAAACCAGTCCTCATCTAATTTCAGGACACATAGTTCCACCAACCGTTCGCAGTTTGCGTTGATACAACTTTGAATATTTAATTTCCAACTACTTACTGCATCATCAGTCAATATTTTGGTAAAAGAAATTGTGAGTCCCTCTCGAAAAAAGCGTTGACATGCCTCGCTTTGTACATCAATTCCTACAGAGAATCAAACAAGTTGTTAATATTATTCAAATTTTTAAAAAATTAAAAGATAATTTTTATGTATAATAACCTTTTTTACAAAGATCGATACTGGCTTGTAACAGACACTCTAATTCCTGTTCTGGTAGAACTGGTACAACCCAACGTGGACTAGATATTTTTTCATGAAGAATATTGAGTTTTGCAATGGGAAAGTCAGGCTCTCCCTGAAGTTGATTACTATCCTCTACCAAGGTTAAGGTATCATTGGTGGATTCTGTTTGTACCACATTCTCTGTGAGTTGAAGTCCTGACATTGTATCAGCTAATTGTTGCGGACCCGGTGGACTATGCATCTAAAAATGTTTAATAATTCATGTTAGGTAAGAAGCAGTTCAATTTTTAAAATCGTACCTACGCATGACATTAATAATATCATTATTATAAGCGCGAATAAAGTTACTTAAATGTACCTGTGTACTTTGCTGGCTGTCAGGAGGGTCCATGCCTACTCCTTGGCCTCTTGTGGCAATCGTCATTTTATGTGCTGTTTGCTATATTCCAATTGTCTCAATACCTCTTGGTCCAATAATCGCACCACCAATAACAATCATCCAACACATTCACTGACATTAAATATAATTACACCCTAAAGGCCTTCTTTGAATAAACTATACCTACATTATCTGAAACATATGAAGAAAATATAAAGTCCTACATAATCAATTAGTATTCTGATATCATTCGACATATGTAAAATGTTAATCATCGATAAATAAAATGCTGTGCTAATGAATATAAAACTACAGCAAATCTCAAGTAACAAGGACAATAAATAGAAACAAAGAAGAGAGAAATAAATGAAATATTACACTAACAATTAAATCCGCTAGAAGACAATGATAAAGGATCAATATGCGATACACATAGATTTGTTCTGGTAAGAATGTATTAACAACTCTACTGCCTAAAGATCATAAAACTTAGAAAAGATATTTTTGTATTTGATATTTTAGTTCACAGCCTTTGCACAATTTTTGGTATACTTTATGCCTAATACAACTGTCCTGCCCTATGAACAACTGATTAAATATTTCGACACCTTCGAGGCGAGATAAAATGATGTTTTCCAAAGTCAAAGGCAACGAAGATAACATCAGGATGATTCTCATGACTGATTGTCTGAGAACCTTCAAATAAATCTGTGTGGCACACTGTAACTCGAGCCCGTCTCGAGGGATACCGGTATGCGTCGTTAATTCACGGTCGAATGGGGAGAAAACGAATTTTAAAGCGGCTATGTAAAAGCACACAGATAACGAGAAACTCGTCGCGCATTTGGTAAGTAGTATGACAGCATGATCTTGCTAAGGTTTCAACCGACAAATTCCGATCGTTCGTCTCGAACCGACAGGAACGAACGTTTCTTAAACGATAATGGTGTCACTCGACCGTACGAAACTAGTGTGAGACTAATAATCGCATCTAACGGTTTGTATACTTTTTTGGAATTTCGCAATCTACGAAAGGTACGATGTCATGTCGCGAATTATTCCTTTATCTCTCTCTCTCTCTCTCTCACACACACACACACACACTCATGCGCTCTCTCTTCTCTCTCTCTCTCCCGCGTTCTCTCTCTTTCTTTCTATCGCTCTCACTCTCTCTCTCTCTCCCTCTCTCTCTCTCCCACTCACTGGTTTTCTTTCTCTTGCTAGCTCTTTTTATTTCTCGGGTGTATATCGTCAAACGTACCGAGAGCTGTCAACCGTCAAAAATTACAGCCAGGAAGCGGTTGAGCCGGCTCGCTTTCTGTTGACGAGACAGCATCATCCGGTAAATAATATCGCGAAAAATCACCGTCGAATTAGCTCAGAATTACGCGAAATACGTCTACGGCGTGCTTACAAAGAACTAACGTCGAACGACAACGGAAGGAAATCTCGGTTATTCGTACGCGGCCACTTCTTCACCGTACTTCCAATTTCTGCTCGTTTACGAGAAATAGATGAAACGATTCCACTCGATCGGTACCTATGGGATTTCAACGATCCTCGGTGTTCAGGGAGCAACTATTTTCGCCCCGTTCACTCAACCGGGCCACCTCCGGACAAAATGGCGACCATCCTAACGATTAGCACTGCCGTATTAAGAAAAACCTTTTAAATTCTGTTCAAGAACGTATCGCGTATGGATAACGACGTACCACGTTACAGGTCGTTCTTACTATCACCAATTAACCGATCTGAACTTCTAACAAAGGGAAACGCACCTTTACATAGTAAACGGTGGTAGAAATATTTGTTGCACTTTTTGACGTGACGTTATGGAACTCACTGGCGAATCTGTAAACACGGCTATCTTACGGCGCTACTGTCGTTCTCGAGTTAAAACGACCACCGTACCCACTGTTACTACTACGTTCACGGTGCTTCTCGTGCACCTATCCTTGATCATTTAATTCCGATTGTCTCTTAAATTAACCCTTTGTTTATTAGTTTTCTTATTGAAATATTTCATATTCTTCTTTTGTCATCTTTGACGCTTAAAGTATAAATTTTCTTTCACTTAATCGTTTGTTTTTTTCATTATTTCTGTACCTATTCTTCGTACAATTTTAAGAATACGCGCGTTTTTTTTTTCAACCCCATTTTCGTCATTACAATGTTTCGCCCTCGTCCTTACTTCTGTTTGTAACATTGTCACTGTAAAGATCATTGTAATAAAACTGTAACAATTTCTTGTTTATACGTAGATTATAAAAAAGATTTGTTAATTAAAACGAAGATTTCAAATTGAAAGCGATACAAACCGTAAATTCAAATAAAAAAATACAGCCTTAAATCTTGTACTACTATACATATAATTTAAAAAGGTGAAAGTTTTTATATCAATACGATGGTATTGCATTAATGGAAAAATTGTATAAAATTCTTTTTTCGAACTGTATTTACCTGAATAGAGTTTCAAATAAACANTTATACGTAGATTATAAAAAAGATTTGTTAATTAAAACGAAGATTTCAAATTGAAAGCGATACAAATTGTAAATTCAAATATGAAAATACAGCCTTAAATCTTGTACTACTATACATATAATTTAAAAAGGTGAAAGTTTTTATATCAATACGATGGTATTGCATTAATGGAAAAATTGTATAAAATTCTTTTTTCGAACTGTATTTACCTGAATAGAGTTTCAAATAAACA